AAAATGGAAATAGGATGCATCACTGGTGTATGCCTTTCCTGATTTTGAACCTCCTCAATAATTTGGTGAGGTCCCTAACTGTAGACTTTCCCAGTGCAATGTATCTCTGTATCTCCTGATTTCCTATTTGCTGATACCAAGGTTATTGATTATAGATCCAAGTAAGATGGAGTTGTTGACAGTTTCAACCTTTTCTCCATCTATCATAATATCGCCTATTGGTCCACTGGTAAGAATTTTTCTTTTCTTCACAATGAGATGTAATCCATATTGAAGACTGTATTCTTTGATCTTCTGCAACAAGTACTTTGGGTCCTTTTCACTTTCAGTTAGCAAGGTTATATCATCTGCATAACACAAGTTATTGTAGAGTCTACCTCCAGTCTTGATGCCACATTTTTCTTCATAGAGTCCAGCTTCTCGAAAAATTTGCTCAGCAAACAGAATGAATATGTATGGAGAGAGCATACAAGCCAGATGCATTCCCGTCTTAATTTTAAGCCATGCAACGTTCCCTTATCTGTTCACACAATAACCTCTTGATCCAGGTGTTGGTTTCATATGGACACAATTCAGTGCTCTGGGATTCCCATTCTTCTCAATGTTAGTCATAACTTGTTATGATTCAAACAGTCAAATGCCTTTGCATAGTCAAGAAGGCATAAATAGACATCCTTCTGGTATACTTTCAGCCAGGATAAATCTGACGTCAGCAATGATGTATCCCTGGTGCCATGACCTCTTCTAAATCCTGCTTGAACTTTTGGAAAATCGCTATCTATGTATTGTTTTGCCACTTTTGAATGATTTTCAGCAGTATTTTGCTTGCCTGTGGTATTAATGATACTGTTTTATAGTTTCCACATTCTGTTGGAGCACCTTTCTTGGTAATGGGAACAAATATGGACCTCTTCCAATCCTTTGGCCAGATTACCTACCATAGACTGATGAGTGCATCCAGGGTTGCATCTGTTAATTGATACAAGTAAATTGGCATTCCATCGATACCTGGGGCCTTATTTTTTGCCAATGCCTTCAATTGCTATTGGCTCCTGTTTATATGGTACTTCCTGAAATTTTTCAGTGTCAGTCAGTTCTTTTTGGTACAGTGACTCTGTGTATTCCCTTTATCTCTTTTGAGGCTTCCTGGGTCATTCAATATATTGCCCATAGCATCTTTCAATATTGCAATTCAAGACTTAAATTTGAAAAAAAAAAGACTTAAATTTGTTTTTCAGTTCTCTCAGCTTGAGAAATGCACAGCTAGTTCTTCCTTTTTATTCTCTAATTCCAGCTCTCTGTACATTCCATTATAATACTTTGCTTTGTCTTTTCAATCTACCCTTGGAAATCTTCTGTTCAGCTGTTTTTCTTTGGTATGTTTTCTGTTTGTTTTGGCTTATTGATGCCATAGTGCAATTTTCAGAGTCTCTTCTGACATCGATTTCAATCTTTTCTTTCTCTTCTGTCTTTGTAATGACCTTTTGTTCTCTTTATGTATAATATATTTTATATCATTCCACAGTTCATCTGGTCTCCAATCACCGGTGCCCAATGCTTCAAATTTATTAACCTGATTTTGAAATTCAGATGGAATAGATTCAAGATCATATTTTGATTCTCATGGACTTGTTTCCATTTTCTTCGGTTTTAATTTGAACTTTCACATGAGTAATTGGTGGTCTGACTCATAGTCCATTCCTGGCGTAGTTTTGACTACAGATACTGAGTTTCTATAACAATTTCTTACATAGATGTAGTCAGTCTGATTCCTGTGCAGCCCATCTGGTGAGGTCAATGTGTAAAGTCACCATTTGTGTTTTTTGTTTTGTTTTTTTTAAAGTATTTGCAATGAATAAATCATTGAAAATACAAAATTTGATCATCCTATTTCCATTCTCATTTCAAGACCATATTTTACTAGGGAGCTCTGGTGGCCTAGTGGCAAGAAGTGGCACTGCAATTCCCAAGGCACACAGTTCAAGGCCACCAGCTGCTCCTCTGGAGAAGGGTGGGCAATCTCCTCTCTTGAGATTAACTGCCTCTGAAAACCTGCTGGAGGGTCAGTTATGGGTCGGTTTTGACTCGATAGTAAACAACAACAACAGTAACATTCCTTCTTCATTGTTTCCAACTTTTGGTTTACTGGCACCGATTATTATTAACGAATGCTTGATTGCATGTTCAGTCAATTTTGGACTGCAAGATTTGGTAACAATTTTCAATGTCTTCCTCTTTGGCTCGAGATGTAGGAGTGTATATTTGAATAATATTCATGTTAGTATTCACAACATTGTATTTCAGGATAGAACTTGAAACTGACTTTTGACAATGAATGCAGCACCATTCTTCTGCTTTCATTCCCAGCATAGTATACCATCGGATTCAAAGTGACCAAAGCTAGTCTACCTCATCCCATTAATACATAGAATGTTGATGTTCATGTGCTCCATTTTATTTTTCACAATTCCTAGTTCTCCAACATTCAAGCTACTTACAGTCCACATTCGAATTATTAAAGGACATTTGTCATTATTTTTTCTCATTTTGACTGAGTTACAATCTCCATACTACCACTAATACTACAACTACTCACATTCCACTATTGTACATAGTATTTTCAGAGGCCTGTTATTTAAGAAGTGGATGGCCTATCTGCTTCCTCCTCTGTCTTACTCTGGGAACTCTGCTAAAACCTATCACATGGGGAAACCTTGTGGAATTTTGACACACCAGTGGCATAGCTTTCAGTATCACAGCAACCCACAAGTTATTTCAGTACCACAAACTGACAGACAAGTGCTGTACCAATTAGAACAATATTCTTCCCAAACACAATTTAATGTGTAACTCTAATAACAAATCAGTCTTTACACAAAGGCCTCAGCCATAGAGCCCAATTTTTATTCACAAAGGCCTACCCACATGGTCCTAAATGGTTTAAAAAAGAGGTTCACAACCTACAACTGATTGTTAATTAAAATCAAACACAAAAAAAACCACAAATTACCCACCCACACCTGGCTGCTAATTAAATAAAAATAACTAAACAATCCACACTTGACTGTTAATTAAATAAAAAAGACCAAGTAGCTCACATCTGACAATTAAATCTTATCATTCAACAACAACAACAAAAAATCCTATAATACAAGCAAAGAAATTAAGGTTCAGGAAAATTATGTAACTTGCCCAAGTCCCACGGCCATTAATACATGACAGAGATGATACTCGGTTTCAGATCCATCTGATCCAAATATAAAGTTTATTTGACACCACATTGTCACAGATGGCAAGGTGTTGGTATGCCCAACTCCCTGTTCTGATCTTGCATTTTTGTGTTGAGGTCTGTCTCTCCCGATGAAGACAGCTTTGTAAGGGGAAGAATCACGCTTTCTTCATGCTTATACCTCCAGCACGGTCTCCTCTAGTGAGTGGAGGGTGGGGTTGAGCTAGCCCGCCTCTCTGGCCCTTGCTCTCTCTGCAGATCAACAAGCTGACGGGGGACGATGCAGACCTGTACCGCTGCATAGCAGTGAACATATACGGAGAAGCTGTGTGTGCTGCGAGGCTCACCGTCATTGAAGGTGCTTCTTTAGTTTTTGTATACAGGAGATCAGCCCTGGATTCCTCCCCCGGGAGCACTCAGAAAAAACAGAGGCCACAGCTAGTGTAAGGAGGGGAGGGAGCCACTGGCTTACTAGAGCATCACAGGAGCTGAGGGTGAGGGGCGGTGAGGACTGCCTGATATTACCAGAGGAGATGATGCCAAAATGACCCTGTAGTCTTCAGTGGCCTTGGGTGGACTGGAGCAAGGGGAGGGTCTCCCAAGACAGTAATGCCTCTAGGGTTGGCTGCATTGCTGTTACGCAGTGCAGTACTCACCACTCCTTCCTTACCCCCTCAGAGTGTGAGCAGGTGGGTCTCAGGACCACCAACGGGCAGAGAATGGCGAGAAAAAGAGGCCAATGTGGAAAGTCACAATGGCTGGGGCCTATGGCTGCTCAAATCCATATGTGGGGGAGTGGGCGGGGCACCACTGATGGAGACGGGCTTATGGGTAGGCCAGCCCACAGTGGGACTGGGGTGGGGGTGTGACACCCGAGTTACTGTACTGAATGATGCCCATCCTAGTGATGCCACTGGAGGGAGCCCTTAGTTTAATCACCTAGTTTAATGACACTACCACAACACAGGGTTTTAAAAGCAGACACATACCAACGCACGGTTGCGGGTATCTTTGAATGATAGATCTTGATTCAGTGGAATGAGGTCAGGACCTGGAAGTTGTTTCCTAGCCCCAGATCTTCTGGTGGATCTTTCAGTAGGTTTAGTTTTTCTCTCTGGACTTCTTTTTTTCTTCTGAACAAAGGATGCTTTGTACAGGCCCTGGGCAGAGGTGGCAAGCAGGTAATACAATGGACAAATCCCTCTCTCAGATGTTACTCTTGGTTTACACAGTGTTTAAAATTTTCCGAATTAATTGTCAACATGTAATTATTTACAGCAACTCACTGCTGTCACCCAAGAGCCAAACATTTATGTCTCACAGCTCTGCCATAATTAATGATTGCTTTATCACTTTATGGTCCAAAGAAGGCTGCTACAGATCCAAACCTAACCCATATGCAAGAAAGGAAGATGGAGAAAGAGGAGGCTCCGGATACATTGACCCTTTTTGTTTTAGAAAGCAAAAGCTTTCTCAGGAATGTCTCTTGGACTTCTGCTTCCCTCTTCTAATTGGTCAAATCTGTGTCACATGACTACTTCTAGTTGCCAGGAGTCTAGGTAGGCAAACATTTTCCATCCTCTCTAAAAGAAGCAGGCAAGGGAATTAGGAATGACTGCAGTGTCTAACATATTTGACAATAGTGGGCCTATGCATTGAAATGCCAGCTCTCAGATGGAAAGAGCAGTGGTCACCAGTGGCCACGTCTCTTGTTTATACCACCTCCCTGGGCCCTTTGCATATGTGAGGATGCCTTTCCTGATGAGATGGTTAGCAAGTTAGTTCCATCTCGCCCTGCTAAAACTCTGGCCAACCTCACTCCAACCTTCTTGCTGGGATGCTGCTGTGCCTCACAGGAGAAGGGAGGTCAGGGCCGAAACTTGCTCAGTTTTCCAGGTAGATCATCAGTAAATCTTACCTCTCCTCCTGCTTTTCTGTATCAACTCTCTCCTCTCCTCCCTGGATGGTCCAGTTGGTTTCCGGAAGAATCGAAAGAGGCAAAAGGAACCCCAGGAGGGTAGGTGGATGATTCAGAAATCTCCTCACAACCTTTCAGGAGTGAGCTACTCCTTGCCCAGCCTGTCCAGTCTGTCCAAGCCCCATCCTTTAACCCTAGACACTGTGGGTCATCTCCAAGCTACAGGTGAGCTCTTTTCGAAAGCTCTGCTATCAGTCCAAGACCGTAGGACCTCCTCTCATTACCTCTCTAACCCCCTTTCCACAGAAAAGCCCACATTAAGCCCTGGGCATCCCACTCTGGGACTAGGGCCTCATTCCTGATTCTTTTCTAGACCTCAGGAAGGAGCTGGCAGACTTCCGGAATATTCTGAAAAAGAGGTGGGTCTGACTGTGCCCATGAGGAACTTAAGACTTCTTGGTGTCTGTCGCCTCTAAGTTTTATAAGCAGGCTGGGCTCAGGCAGGCCCACGCCCTACAACACGTGCAGGGAAGTCAGCGTCTGGGTGGCAAGCTGGAAGGATAGAACACAGACCTGGGATTTTAGGGTTCAGCTCTTACCACATAATTTAAAATCTGTAGATGTGCCAAATGCGATAATGGTTACCCATGGTGGACAGTGTTTGGCGGAGCTCCCCAGTTAAACAAGCTTGGAAGCAGGAGTGGCATCCACTTCTGAAATAGCTTGCCTCCAAAACCTCTGTGGACTTGAAAAAAATTATGAAAGTTATACAAGTGTTGAGGTCTTTTGTTCATAGGGTTGATATGAGTCGTCTACGACTCAGCATCACTTAACAACAACCTTTGAGTTCATCATTTCTTCAGAGTTTCAGGGTAGTGTAAATGGTTTTGTGTTCAGCTGCAAACCAAAAAGTTGCTCCAGTCCATTGAAAACCTAGTGGAGCACAGTGCTTTCTACTGTGACACACACACACACACACAGGGTCACCAAAAGTTGCAGTTGACTCAGAGTGACTGATTTTTAATCACCTTCCTTCTCAGGGTCTTGATTTCCTTTTTTTTTTTTAAAAAAAAAAAGTGCTTAACTAGAATGTTGTTGTTGTTAAGTGCCGTCGAGTCACAGGCGACTCATAGCGACCCTGTGAAGGAGAGTCCTCGACGCTTGGGTGCCTTTCATCCTCTCTCCAGATTCATAGGGTTTCTGGAGGCAAGCTATTATGGAAGTGGACGCCACTCCTCCTTCCAATCACTACAATAGGGACTTAAAAAAAATTCTATGCCACAGAATACTTTTCCTCCAAAAGCTAGTTAGGAGATCGCCTATCAGTTAAATCTAGGGCTGTGAGCTGAGGCACACACCCATCCATCTTTGGATCCTGGGAATCTTTCAAATCCTAAGTAGTGGTTGGTTACAGAATTTTCCAGTTTCTGTGTCCATTGGCTTCTGGAAGGCAGAGCTAGAAAATTCTCCAGCCTCCCTGGGATACCAGGAGGGAATGACCAGCACCTGGGGTCCCCCTGAATGCTGATCTGTTTGCCTTGACCCCAGAACCCCACCACCTACCCCAAAGAAAAAGATAGACCCCGACCAAGTGTGGCAGCTGCTGATGACCGCGGACCGGAAGGACTACGAGCGGATCTGCCTCAAATATGGCATCGTAGACTTTCGGGGCATGCTGCGCAAACTGCAAGAGATGAAGAAGGAGCATGAGGACAAGATGGCACAGGTACACCGCGCATGCCCCGCTCTGCACGCACAGCCTTGGAACCGGCCTCGGTTGGGGTGCCCAGAGTGGTTGAGGGACCCACACTCGAGCAGCGTCAAGTCCCAGCTCCGCTAATGGGACTTCTAGTTAAGCAGCTAACCTGGCTCAGCTGCTCGCTGAACTCTGGGACTTTGGAAAAAGAAAGGCCTTGCTACCTCAGTTTCCTCACTTGTAAAAGGAAGCGTATAGTTATCCCTGCCTCATAGCTGTTGCTGAGAAAATGAATGAGTACATAAAGTATTTAGCCTAGTAGACTTAACTAATAGTTTGTAGGGCGTGGACTGCTAACCTAAAGGCCCAAAATCTGGTGGTTCAAATTCACCAGTGACTGAGTAGGGGAAAGATGAACAGTCGCCTCCAGTGTAATTTATAGCTGTGGAAACCCAATGGAGGGTCGACCATGAGCTGGTTCACCTGCCGATTAGTCTTTGTGAGTTATCATTCTGACCAGACATCCCTGTTCTTTGTGTGTCATAAAGTCAGAAGCTAAGAACCTAGAAAGTTCTTTCCTGTGCCTAATCTAACTATAAACCAAACTACTTGCCATCAGGTTGGTTTGGTCTCGTGGCCACTCCCTGTGTGCCAGAGTAGAACTGTGCTCCTCCATATGCTATTCAATGGTGATATATTAAAAGTAGATTTGCCAGACCCTTCATCTGAGGTGCTTCTGGCTAGAATTGAACCATCAACTTTTCTATTATCAGCTGAATGCACTAACTGCTTGCACCACCCAGAAACTCCAATCAAATTAAAGATAGCTGACACCCCACTAAACTAAGTGCATCATGTACATTTTCTCCCCTCAGAATGGGAAACAACTCATTTTAATTATCCTGAAAAGGTGCTTTATCAGTTTGAAGAGGGTTCATCAAAACTCCTATCCCCTGTTTCAACTTCCTCTGAGCTGTCTGATCTGTTGTATCTCAGATCCCCCTGCTATAATACATATCTACTGTAGGCAAAGTTCAACAAATGTTTATATTGGACAAAGCCACAGAGGAATGGGGAAACTCTATCATGTTCCCAGAGCACTTGGATGTTAAGGTTCTTTCTTGCTTGCCTTCCTGCCTCTGATCCTGCAGAATGTCCTTCTTTATGGGGCATATGTCTCACTGCTTAGGAAATGGGCACATGCATGTTCAGCCAGAATGACATGGGCTTAGGGTGGCACTGGGGAACATGAGGGTCTGGAGCTCGCTGCAGAGAGATCTGAGGGAGGTCCCTGGTGGACTTGACTTCCTTTTAGTACGTCACTGCCGTCTCCAACCTGAGACACATCAAGGTCACCAAGGAGGGGGTGGCAACATTTGACCTCGAACTGGACCTCAAGAATACTGACAGCAAGATTTACTTGTATAAGGTGAGGCTGCACGGGGACTGGAGGAGAGGGGACCTGGAAGGGCTGTTGTAGGATTTGGGGGTTGATGGATCCCCCAGTGCGAACATCCAAAGTACACAGGTGGTAAGCCCACCATTCAGTGACTCTCCTGATTGAAGTGAAACCTGGTGCAAATATTCCAGATTGATTTCTGCTTCTAGTGGATCTCCAGCTGATTGTGAGCTTGTCTAACCCGGGCATGGGCATGTAAGAAATAGGTGCTGAGTACCTTATACTCAGTGTTCTCTAGTGATTTGAGGTATTTCCACATTGGCCTAGTCTTATAAACTGTATTGGAAGAGCTCTGGTGGCCTAGTGGTAAGAAGCTGCACTGAAATCCCAAAGGCACAGGGTTTGAATCCATGAGCTGCTATGCGGAAGAAGGATGGGCATTCTCCTTTTGTGTGATTTACTGCCTCTGAAAACCCATCAGAGTCAGCTCTGACTCAAAGGCACACAACAACATGACACAACTTAACTATAGAGAGCACTTGTGGCTTAGTATAAAAGTGTACTGCCAACCCAAAGGCATGCAGTTCAAATCCACAGCTGTCAGTGGGAGAAAGATGGACAATCTCCTTTCATGCAGTCTTCATTCTCCTTTCATGCTTCTGAAAACATGCTGCAGGCTCAGCTATGAGTCGCTTCTGACATAACCACTTACCTACAAACCAAAGCAGCTTATAGTGCCTTACAAACTCTCACCAGGTGGGGGCAGTAAAGTATGATACTAGTTCGGTAAAAAAAAATCCATCCTGTCTTGGCGGCTTACTAGCTATGTTCCTGAGACAAACTAACTGATCTTTCCTGTGGCCCAGTGTCCTAATTGATGTAATGAGTGTGACAAGGCAGTTCATTTGGCACAGTGAGATGATAAGTTAGGTAAAGCATGACTCGTTTCCCTCTTCCCACACTATCACTTCTCAGCATACATTATAATCGATTTGCTAGGGGCAGGAGGAGTTTCAGTTCCATTTGCAGATGTGTCTGACCACCAGCGATGAATGATAGCTATAGTTTCTACTCAGCTAGTAGCAAATCCAATAAGGGTTTAGTTAAAGCTGGTGCTATCTGGTGGCACTTGCAGTGTCCTCCTTGGGGGACAAATGAGCTGCCACACACCCCTCCCCGGGCCAGCTTGTGCAGCATGCAAGGTGGCGATACTTGCAGCCTGATTTTCTGTCTCAGCAACCTCAGGTTGACATAAGATTTGTAGATAATTAACTCTGAAAATTCCTAGAGTGCTTATTCCCCTTCACCTCAGACTCCTCTTTTGCGCTGACTTAAACTACTTTCAGTGTCTAGTCCTCCCTTGTCCTCTGGCACTTTCTACGTCCAGGAATGTGTTTGATGCCTGGGCATTAAATTGGAAGAAAATTACTTGTTGAGGGTCTCACTGCCTCTTCCTTCTCTGGCCTCAGGATGGTGAGATGATCCCCTTTGGCTTTGACAACCAGACCAAGCACTGTCTGCGGAGACTAGGAAAGCGTTACCAATTCCAGATCCAGGACCTGCAGCCTGAGGACGCTGGCATTTACCAGGTCAAGGTTGAGGATGTAGAAGTCTTCTCCACAGAGCTGGACACCAGCGGTGAGTGCTCCTTGCTGCCCAAGTCAGGAGAAGGATCCACGACAGGGTCAAGCTCAGGGGGACAAAATGTGATATGGCCCCATCTCAAGGCCAGCAAATCTAGTTGGGAAAAGGGATTCACACCCAGACGGCTCAGCTATGAGCTTTACCTTTTAAAGCCATGACCCAAGGTCTGTTTCCCCTTGGTGTTAAACTCTATGGTGCTGCAATTACAGTCATGGTGCACACGTGTCATGCTCCTGCTCGCTGATCTTCTGCAGCTCTCTGTTATTCTCAGATCAGATCCAAACTAATTTCAGTATCTCAAGCCTTGACCTCACTCCTCTCTGATGCCACATCTCTATCTTCCACAAGTCTCTAGCAAGAGTTAGCATCTGAGTTAAATACACTTGTGCCTTATCCATGCCTCTTCCTTCCCTGGCACCCATACACTCTCTCTACCTGGGAACCATCCCTTCCTCTGTTCTTGAACTCTGGTTCTGGCACTTGAGCACCTGTGTACATATGCCCTCAAAATGATAGGGAGCTGGAGAGTTCTCTTGGGAGGGAAAGGAAACCTCATGCGAAGAGAGTGTTGGTCTCACCTATAAAGGATACAGCTGAATCAAGGTTGAGGAAGACACAAGAGACCTAGAGTATCTGGAGTGGGGCTTTGATAATCCCCGGAAATAACCTGGTATGGGAAAGGGAAGAAAGGGAATCAGACTGAGGGTTGAATCCTAGTTGAATTACTTCTTAGCTGTGTAAGATTGGGCAAGTAATTTAGCCTTTCAGACCCTTGGTTTCATCATCTGTAAAAAAGGATAAGATAATATTTACCTCAGAAGTACTTATAAAAATTTTGACATACTTAAAGGAACCCTGGTGCTGTAGTGTATAGTGTCTGGGGCTGTTAATCTATAGGTTGACAGTTCAAATCCACCAACTGCTCCTCAGGAGAAAGATGGGAAGTTTCTTTCCCATCAAGGGAAGTAAAGATTTGTAACATCAGAAACCCAGTAGAGGGTTTGAGCTGGAATTGATTTGATGGCAGTGAATTTTTTTTTGTTGTTGTTGTTTTATTTTAAAGTACTGGCACTCAACATGTTACTGGTTTTGGATTCAGAACAATGTAATTTTAGAACTGAAAAGAGCCCACCTACCAGAACCTGACAATCACAAATTACAGCCCGTCATTATATTGTCCAAGGACTCATGGCTGCACAGTAGTTAGTTCTCAGTTTGAACGCATCTGCAGATACACAGGAGATAGATTCAGCAATCTGTCCCCATAAAAATTGTAACCTAAAAATTTAGTAGGACAGCAAGTAAGAAATGTTGGAGATGATATGGCAAGATAAGAACTCTTCTACAATGTTGATGGGATTCTAAAATGGTACAACCACTCTGGAAGGCAATTTGGTGTTTTCTCAGAAAGCTGAACATAGAAATTCCATATGATCTAGCTATTCCACTGCTTGGAATGTACCCTGAGAAAATGGGAACTGAGGCACAAACAGAGACTTGTACACCAATGTCCATAGCAGTGCTATTCACCATTGCAAGAACATGGAAACAGCCCAAATGTCCAACCACAATCGAGTGGATTGAGAAATTATGGTACATTCACACAATGGAATACTATGCAGCACACAGGAGCAGTGACTTTGTAAATTATTACCTAACTTGGGAGGGACTGGAGAGTGTTATGCTAAGTGAAATAACCCGTTCCTATAAGGACAGATACCATATAAGATCATTATTATAGAAATAGATAACTAGTAAAATGTGTATGAGGATCTAAAGGGGGAAAGCAGGGGGAGAGGAAAGGGTGTAATCATGTGGTCACACAGTTTGAAGAGTGGAGGAGAGGGGGGATCTGGTGTGATGGGCAATATATATGAACTTTGTAGGTAAACCAGTGTAAATGTTTTGTGTTTGTTTTGTTTTTTTTTAAAAAAAAAGAATTGTATGAAATTTAAAAATAAAAATTGCAGCCCAGGAAATCCTATGGTCTGTTCTAATCATCATAAAGGGTCGCTGTGAATCAGACTCACAAAGTTGTATCGTGTTGTTGTGTGCTGTTGAGTTGGAACTAACTATATAGCTGACCTTCCAAAAGGGTTTCAGAGGCAGTTAGTCATGGCAAGAGAAAGTCCATCTTCTCCTCAGGAGCAGCTGGTGGATTGGAACTGCACTGTGGGATTACAGTGCATCTTCTTATCACTAGCCCACCAGAGCTCTCTAGTTTTATCATATAGTATAGTTTTATCATATAGGAGAATTGACTCCTGGCTAAGTAAACAATCCATCTGAGGCGATATAGGGCTTTTGTGGAGTGCAGGTCTTAACCTGGATTCCTGAACAGCCTGCCCTGCTGTCTGGGCCATACTGTGTGGGGCCCCCATGCTGACTCCCCATTCTTGCTTCCTGCAGCCATCCCCCCCAGGGTCATGGTTCCCCTGAAGGAGGTCCGCTGTGAGCCCCAGGGCGATGCTGTCTTTGAATGCACTCTCTCCAGTCCCTGCCCCAACGCTACCTGGCTTTTCCAGCATCGCCCACTCCGGCACAATGAGAAATACGAAGTGTCTGTGTCTGCCAACGGGCTGACTCATCGCCTGGTGGTGAAGGGGGCTCGTTTCTCAGACATGGGCCTCTACTCACTGAGCACCGGGCTCCACGTCTCCAGCGCCTGGCTGGTGGTTGAAGGTGAGTGGTTCCCCTTCTGCCTTCTGCTGGGGAGGGCATGACGGAGGCCGGTGGAGGGGGGAGTCGGGGGGGGGCCTTCCTTTGGTCAGGTGTTCTGTGTGTGTATTTATTCAGCAAATGTTTTTTTAGTGTGTATTCTGTAAATAGGATAAATACATTTCCTGCCTTTATGGAGCTTACATTTTGGTAAGTAGGAGACAACAATAAATTAGCATTTGCTAGAAATAGTAGTTCTTAAAACAATTTTAAATCACAGGAAACATTTGTCACTTGTTTGTTTTGTTTATGAACAAGTTGTTGTTGGAAATAATAAAAACCAAAGAAACCCCTGTTTGTTTCTGAGACTATAATCTTAATGGAAAGTGACTGGCTCATTTTTCTCCTACGGAGCATATCAGAGGTGCAAACTGGTGACCAGCTAGCAGCTCAACTCTCCAAAGACAGACACCAGTTCAAGTTTCTCCACAGACAATGCCTTCTCCGAGTTGAGCAGTCTTTCTGCTCCTCCTTATCTCATTTGTTACTCACCTGTTTTCCAATGGGTCCTGAATTCTGGTAAAATGTAAAAATTGTAGATCTGCTCTCAATCCACTGTCAGTGCAGACCTCCCTCCCTGACCTGCCCCGTCGTCATAGCTGCGTATGGTCAGTTAGGGTTCTTGGGATTACTTTGGGGACACAATCCAAGATGGCGCTAGCATCCTGGACAGAGCTTCGGACGGTAGCCCAGGTTCTATGTGGGTGAGCCATTCCTGGAAAGGACAAGAGGAAAACCCTAAACTCCACTGGGGATTAGGATTCAAGTTCAAAGTGGTTCCAGGAAAGCATCGTGTAGATATTTGTAAGGCAGGTAATAGGGCGAGTCAGGTTTCTAGAAACTATATGGCTAATGGTGGCAGGTGGATAAGCAGATCAGTTTTGTTTCTGTCTCTTCTCCCAAATCCTCACATGTCAGGTCGGAGTGTGAGGCGATTTGTGGGTGCAGGATCGGAGAGGCAGTGATGAGGTTTGTCCATACATCAGCCCAGGGATCCTGGCTTTCTTCTCCTGTTGTCAACCTGTTTCACTACTAGGAGAACTCAGGGTCAGGCAGAACACTTGTTCTCAGGCAGGCACCGTGACATACTATAACGGGACTTTGTTCTTTTCTTTTGTCTCTCCATGGGGCATTGGCGTTCTGTGAAAACATCGCCTGATTGAAGATGGAAAGGATAAAGGCCTTCTGATGACCAGTGACGACCACCAGCTACAGGCACCAGGAGCCAGGACCTCAGAAGCAGAAAACTGTGGGAGGATTAGTGGAAAGGGAGGGGACCCCAGAGAGCAGGATCCCATGGGTGGTTCCCTCACAGGAACTGGGCTGACTTCCAGCCTCCAGGGTCCAGGTGGCCCAGAGAGAGGTGGTCTTGGTGCACATGACTACTCCTTGATGGGGGAAGAGGAGACTGCTTACTCAGCCTGGGGTCCTGGGCATTCGAGAGAGGGAGGCTGGGGTGGAAATCTTCCAGGGAGAACCCATCTACAGGGCTCAGATTCAGGGTTGGGCCTCATGGAAGGAGCACAGCAAGAGCATGGCCAAAGCAGTGATGGAGACAGAAGCTGGGGGACAGCAGGAGGCTGGGAGGCTGGCTCCAAGCCTCCTCAGGCTGGAGGACTAGGGAACAGCTGGGAGGGAAAGGAGCACAGAGGGGACAGGCATGGCCAGTTTGGTTCTGGGGGGTCTTGGCTAGAAGGGGAAGAGATGGAGAAGACATTGCAAGGGGATGGCATAGATGGGATGGAAGGAAGGGGTGGTCTGAGCAGGGGAAAGGGGAGAGGAAAGGCAGGTGTGGGCTCTGGGGCTTGGGACTCTCAGGGAGGCAGAGATTCTGATCATGGAAAGGCAGGGGTCCACTTGAAGTCAGGAGAGTCTCTGGGACAGGCATCAGGTGGCAAAAAATTCCCCTTGGGGCCTGGAAGTCCTGAGGCTCAAGCAGATTATGAAGGCCTAGGGGAGCTTGTGGTTGAGGGAAAAGGCTTTAAAACAGGCTCTGGAGACCCTGGAGTGCTTGGAGGCTCTGGAGACCCTGGAGGTTCTGGAAGCTCTGGAGGCTCTGGAGGCTTTGGAGTCCCTAGAGGCTTTAGAGGCCCTGGAGACTCTGGAGACCCTGGAGGTTCTGGAGGCGTTGGAGGCCCTGGTATCTCTGGAGGCTTTGGAGGCCCTGAAGGCTATGGAGGCTCTGGAGTCTCTGGAGGCTTTGGAGGCCCTGGAGGCTCTGGAGGTTTTGGAGGCCCCAGAGACTCTGGAGGCCCCGGAGACTCTGGAGGCCCTGGAGGTTCTGGAGGCTTTGGAGTCCCTGGAGGCTTTGGAGTCCCTGGAGGCCCTGGAGTCCCTAAAGGCTCTGGAGTTCCTGGAGGCTTTGGAGGCTCTAAAGGCTTTGGAGGTTCTGGAGGCTCTGGAGGCTCTGGAGTTACTAGAGGCTTTGGAGGCTCTGGAGACTTTGGAGGCCCTGGAGGCCCTGGAGGCCCTGGAGGCTCTGGAGGTTTTGGAGGCCCTGAAGGCTTTGGAGGCTCTGGAGTTACTGGAGGCTTTGGAGGCCCTGGAGACTCTGGAGGCCCTGGAGGTTCTGGAGGCTTTGGAGGTTCTGGAGGCCCTGAAGGCTTTGGAGGCTCTGGAGTTTCTGGAGGCTTTGGAGGCCCTAGAGACTCTGGAGGCCCTGGAGGTTCTGGAGGCTTTGGAGGTTCTGGAGGCCCTGAAGGCTTTGGAGGCTCTGGAGTTACTGGAGGGTTTGGAGGCCCTGGAGGTTCTGGAGGCTTTGGAGGTCCTGGAGGCTATGGAGTCCCTGGAGGCTTTGGAGGCTCTGGAGACTTCGGAGGTCCTGGAATCTCTGGAGGCCCTGGAGAGCATGGAGGCTCTGGAAACCAGGAAGGGAGCCTACAAGAGCTCAACAGAAAGGGCTTGGGTTACAGGGATGGGCAAGAGTCAGCTGGGGCCTTATATAGGATGAGAGATGGCTCTAAAAGCCTCCAGTCTTCCCAGGGCTTGACAACAGGTCAGAGGGGATCAGGGGACCCTAGCAGCAAAGCATCCAGTAGCATAAATTCTTGGGGTGACACTGGAACCCACTTTGGTCCCGGAGTGCTTGAGTCTGGTGGGAAGGGGCATATGGGTGGCACTCAGGTGACTGGCCAAGGGATGGATGCTAGCCTGGGTGTCCAGGGATCTCGGGGGGCACTAGGAAATACTAGTAGTTTGAGAGGTCCTGGAGCACTCAAGTCAGAGTCTGATTTCTCAAATATGAGTGAGTCATGGGGCCCCAGAGGAAAAGGGCTCAGAGGTGAGATGGGAGATAAGGGGGGTGTAGGAGGTCTTGGGGGAATGGAGTCAAGTTATGCAGATGGCTTAGGGTATTCTAGGGGACTAGGTCCTAAAAATGGGCCTGAGTACAGTGATGGCTCAGGGGTACCAGGAGAAATAGGGTCTGGTCAAGGTCTCAGTGGTAGAATCACTTCTGGGACACCTGGAGAAATGGAGTCTGAGGAAAGAGGTGGTCACAAGCACAGCTCAGGCATGTCTGGAAACAAAGATGGTTATGGTCTGGGGAGCAGTTTCAAGAACAATGCTGGTGGCCTTATTGGAGGGCCCACGGGTGCAGAAGGCCATTGGGATGCATCCAGAGGCCAAGGGGAAATGGGCCCTGGGGGTGGTGGCCGAGGGAGTCCTGGCACAGTGGGGTCTGTGGGTAGAGGTGGTGTAGGAGTCTCTGAGGCAGTGGAAACAGCTGGGAAGGGACATGTGGGAGCAGAAGCAGAGGGCTCTGGAAGAGTAAGGCCTTGGGATCAGGCTGGAGGTAGTGGGGTCTTCGGGACTCCAGGGGATCTGGTGTCTTTAGGAGAAAGAGCCTATGAAAATGGCTCTGGGGTCCCAGGAGCCTTGGAACCAGGGTCTTTGAGGGTAGGGGACAAGATAGGGCATGGAGATGGGAGTAGGGGCCCTGGACCCAGGACATCTGGGCCTGGGACTGGGCACTGGGATGACACGAGGTTCCCGGAGGCATTATCCTCTCACGATGGGCTTGGTTCTGAGGGCCGGAGGGCATATGGGTCTGGCAGTGTGCCAGGCTCTGGTGCTGGATCGGGAATTCCAGGATCTCAGGGAACTGGACACAGGACAGTTTATGGAGAAGGGTCAAAGGGCTTTGGGCCTGGGGGACTGGGATCAGAGGATGTGATTTTTGGGGATGGTTCAGGGGGCCTCAGAGGAAAGGAGCCAAGAGATGATGCAAGTTATAGGAATAGTGTTGGGGGTTTGGGGGAAATGGGGCCAGTGAGTGAGCTGGGATATAGGAAGGATTTGGGGGTTCTTGAGGGAACGGATTCTGGGGGAGAGGGAGATTACAAAGATAGTTTAGGGAGCTCTGGGCTCATTTTTTCACAGAGTGAGATGGATTGTAGGAAAGGCTTGGGAGACAATAAGGGGATGGGGCCAGGTGGTGAGGGAGGGTATAAGGGAGGCTCAGGAAGGTCTAGGGAAATGGGCCCAGTGGGTGGAAGGGGCTGCAGAGATGGCTCAGGGAAATTTGGGGAAGCAGATTCCGTAACTGGAATGGGCAACGAGAGTAGACCCGGAGGCCAAGAAACTATGGGACATGGGCCAGGCTATAGGGTCACATCAGAAGCATCTCCTAGCAGCACTAGTTCCAAGGACGGTGCAAAGAGAAGCCGTGGACCAGGGGTTGTAGATGGAGCTGGCCTTGGAGCAGCACACAGCAACAGCCTCAAGGGCCCAGGGCTCCTGGGGTCTCAGGGAGGGCCAGGGACTCTTTCAGATGGGCAGGGTGCCAGGAATGGTCTTGGGGGGTGTGAAACCCCAGAGACCCCTGACGCCTTGTGGGCTGTTGGTGCCATGGGGCAGGATGGCTCTAGAATCCCAGGGTGTCCCGCTGGTAGAGTGGTTCTAAGTGGGGAGCGTGGGTCTGCAGACCGAGCAGGGGACATGGGGTCTTCTGGGTCTTTTGCTGGTGGTCAGGGGCCAGCAGAGGGTGAGAACTGGTCAGGGACAGCTGCTTTACAGTCTGGTCACAAAGGGGACATTGGGAGAGCAGGCCCCAGGATGGCAGGCAGGGGTGGAACTGCTGGCCAGGGAGAATGGGCACCTCAGGGAGGTGGGGACTCAGAGTCCAGTGGCAGAGGGAAGGAAGCTGGCTGGGAGGGCTCAGAAGGGCCAGGCCAGGCTCTAGACAGCAGGTCTATGTCAAGAGAAGGGAGAATGTCAGTCTCGGGGGCTGCCCCACTTGGTGGGACCCATGGCCAGCCAGGGATTTCCAGTGGCCGGGCGGGCAGGCCTGGGCAGGGAGAGACTGGTAGACACCAAGGTCCATGGTCCTTGGAGAGCAAAGGTCTAGGTCTGGAGAACATGGATATCCTGGGCAAGGGGAATTCTGAGTGGGAGAGTGGCTTCAATTCAACTCAAAAATCTGGCAAATCAGGATCTAGGGGTTCTTGGGATGGCATGGGTGGGGTCAGTGACAGACGGGGCCCTGAAGACAGATTGGGGGGCTTCCAGGACTCGGACTTTCAGTTAAACAAAAGACAGAGAGGCAGAACTGGAGGCCTCAGGGAGCAGGGGTTCTTGGAGGGTGAGAATGGCAGGGCCCAAGGTTCCAGCACACAGAGGGAGTCTGAGAGGCCCGGGGTAGAATATGGTGGGCTAGACAAGGGATCTAGCTCATTCTGGGGCAGGCCTCAGTCAGGGGCTGACATTGGAGTAGCTAAGAGCAGGGGAGCAGATGAGGCCGGAGACCTGGGGCGATCACGTGGAGGTGAAAGCAGAGGGTGCCATGGGGAAGCTCAGGACTGGAAGACCCCTGGTCATCTGGGCAGCAGGAGAGGCGATGCAGGGGCAAGGGCAAAACTCCATGGCAAGGATGCCCCCGAAAGTCCTGGATCTGGATACAAGCCGGGGACCAGCAGCTTCTCCAAGCAGGCCCGAGGTAGGTATTTCTGAGCTGGGCTGTCTCCAGTGGGCGAGAGCCAAGGGGAGGTCTTTTGAACTCTGCGGTGCCTGAACTGGACCCGTTTCATCCTCTACATCAAGAGTTTGTCCCTGTCAGTGGCACTCATTTGGAGGGACCTCCTTTAAATTCAGGAAGCCGCCTCTTCCCCTTGTGTGGAGGGGACCAGGCTGCATGTGACTCAGAGATCCCCCATGCATGTCCCAGAGCTCCATCTCCAAAGCACCAGGGTCATTGCACTGCTCTTCTGTTTTCAACCACACAGCTGCCGTCTATGGGACCCAGGGAGCTCCATCCCCAGCCCCTCCTCTTTCCTCTATCACACACCTCAGATCTGGCCTGTGGGCGCTTACTGAGCCCATCTGGTGGGACTGTGCTGGCTACAGTCTGGGAGGCTGAGTTTTGGGGGGTATCCCTGTGTGTGTAACCCCGAGATGCCCCCTATGTTTCTCCAGGTCTCATGGGCCACTTCTCCCAGGGTCTGGCTGACACCGTAGCCCAGCAAGGGGAGGCTACCATTCTTTCTTGCACCCTCACCAGTGACCTGGGACCTGGAACCTGGTTTAAGGATGGAGTTAAGGTATTACCTCTCACACTTTCTCTTTACCAACCAGTTGTGGGATGGGGGGAGCAGATGGGAGCTAGAGAAGGAGAAGCTTTGTAAGGAAGATGTAAGTAAAATGAAGATTCATTTTACTAATGTGAAAATCTTGAAAAACGTAAGTAGCCCACAAATGTTATGCATTTTACAAAGAACTAGGTTCTTAGAAGGATGCACGTCACTTTACTCCTTCCTCGACAATGTTGTACCCTTCTCCAATCCAAAACACCTCTCTTTTTCCTCCCCTGACTGAACTCTGCCCCTCCCTCAGGTGCAAATGCCATCTTTTCATCCTAACTAGGTGAGGTCGCTCCTCACTCTGTGTGCCCGCTGTCCTCCACGGCAGCTGTCAGCACAGGAGGAAGTGCCACAGTGGTTCAGAGTGAGAAACTTGGCCTCGGCTGGGTCTGGCTTCAGATCTCAGCTTTGCTATGCATGAGTTCATGATCTTGGGCAAGTTGCTGTCCATTCCTGGTTCCTCACCTACACATGAGACTAATCATAGTACCTACCTCATGAGGTTGTTGTGGAAATTAAATGGGGTACAGTACTTGGCACCAGTAGCCAGGAAATTAAAAGGCACATTGCCATGGGGAAGTGTGCTGTTAGGGACCTCTCCAAAGTGCTGAAGAGCAATGGTGTCTCTCTGGAGACTAAGGTGCATTGATACAGGCCATGGTCTTCACAATCACTTGTTATGCATCAGAGAGTTGGACAATGACCAAAGAGGATAGAAGGAGAATTGATGCCTTTGAGCTGTGGTACTGGAGAAGAGTATTGAGAATACCATGGACTGGTAGGAAAACAAATAGATTCGTCCTGGAAAGGGTTAAACCGGGTGGCTCCTTGGAGGCAAGGATTCTGAGGCTCCGTCTAACATACTTTGGACATGTTGTGAGGAGAGACCGGTCCTTGGAGAAGGACATCATGCTTGGGAGGGTGGAGAGACAGCACAGGAGGGGAAGCCCTCTATGAGGTGGATTGATTCAGTGACTGGGATAATCGGGATGGGAGTGTCGGAGACAGTGCGATTGGCACAGGACAGAGCGGAGTTTAGGGCTGTTGTACATAGGGTCGCTATGAGTCGCAAGCGACTCGATGGCACATAACAACAACAACAACCACATGGAGAAAGGGTCTTATGTGGTCGAAAGAATTTGCTCTCAGCAACTAATCAGAAGCCAGGCGGTCAGAATCCACCCAGGAGTGAGGTGGGAGAAAGGCCTGGTGATCTGGTTGTGTCAGATTGGAGCCATTGCACATTTTACTGAGCAGTTCTACTCTGAAACGTGGGGTCACCATGAGTTACAATTGACTTAATGGTAATAGATTTGGTCTGTTTAGTTTTTTTAAATATGCCTTTGTAGAGAGCATTTGTACCTAATATGCACCGCATTCATGCAGGTGGTGTGATTCCAGCAGTCACATTGGTCAAGCTGGTCCTGGGAGTGAAGTGGGGTAGAGATGACTGACTATTCCTGTGACCCTTTCCAGCTCGCTGCCCAGGATGGAGTGATCTTTGAACAAGACGGGCTTGTGCACAGACTCGTCATCAAACATGTGGAGGCAGAGCAAGCCGGGAGGTACACGTTTGTAGCCGGCAACCAGCAGAGTGAGGCCACACTAACCGTCCACGGTGAGGCCCAGCCCTGCCCACCATCTCTTTGCACCAGGCAACGAGATGGCTATCCACTTATAAACACCTGGATTTGTTGCTAGTCTACAGCCAATGTTTAATCTCATTTTCAGTCTGAGAAGAACTCTGTAAATTTAAATACTCAGCCCACATTCTTCCTGTTCTGCCATCTAATTGCCGTCCTTGTCAGGAAGTTCATGGTGAAGTCTAATTCTGGTCCCTCCTGCTGCAGATGAAGCCCTTTCCCTTTGTTAGTGCTCACAAAGTCATCTCTCCTTTCACCCAAGCTTCCTACTCTGAATCCTCCTTCCCTTCATGCCCAGGGGGCCCAGCACTTTGCTCATCTTGTGCCCTTTTTTTCTCTCTAGACCCTCCTACCATTGCTCCGAGCGTGACAGAGAAGCTGAGAGAACCTCTGGTGGTCAAGGCTGGGAAGCCGGTGACAGTGAAGATTCCCTTCCAGAGCCACCTTCCCGTTCAAGCTGCCTGGAGGAAGGACGGGGTGGAAGTGCTGGGCGGCAGCAACAGAGGGGCCCAGGTGGCCCTGGGGGACGACTTCACTAGGCTGTGCCTCCCTAGCGCCAGCAGGAAGGACTGTGGCCAGTACAGTGTGACGCTGAGGAGTGCAGGAGGCTCTGTGCAGGCCGACCTCTCCCTGCAAGTCCTAGGTGCCCACCCCAGCCCTCTGCACCCTCCCTGCTCCAAGGGCAGGCCGAGGGGTGCTCTCTGGCTGGGATCCTCATCTAGATGCTGCCTAAGATCTCTTCCTCAGACTGGCTAGGATGAGACAGTTTAGTTGAGGGCTGGCTCCTCCTGGAAGGAGGAACTGGCTGCTTGCTGTTCTCCGAGCGTAAATGATCTGAGACCTAGGGGGGAATCTTGTGTGTGGGGTAGTCCTCAGTCTTGAGTGGAGCTGCAAGACAGGACTGCAGAGGCCAGAGTTCTGGGCAGGTGTCCTTGCCGGCCACTGAGTGGTGGGGCTGGCCTTGGGGTTGGTTCCAGGTCACCATCCTGGGGTGATTGTGGCATTAGGAGTGGAGACCAGGGACATCTGGTTGTCTGGACTTCTGGATTAGTCTCAAGACCTTCAGGCCAGGTTGCTTCCTAGCAGCTCATCCACTGTTGCGGGTGAGGGGGTGACTAACATTCTCCCCTTCCAGCTCCTTTGACCTCCCTTCTCTTTCTGATCCTTTCCTGGGACCCCAGACAAGCCCCAGCCCCCACAGGGCCCCCTGGAGGTGCAGGACGGCCATGGGACTGGTGTCTGCCTCCACTGGCGGCGCCCTCAGGATGACGGGGGCTGCGCCGTGCTACATTACGTGGTGGAGAGGCGGCAGGCTGGCCGAAGCACGTGGCTGAAGGTGGGCGAGCCCTCGGCAGACAGCACCACCTTCACGGACGCCCAGGTGGAGCAGGGCAGGAAGTACACGTTCCGCGTGCAGGCGGTGACCTCTGAGGGGGCTGGTGAGGCGCTGCAGTCAGAGGAGGTGCTGGTGGCTCCAGATGGTGAGAGGATAGGCTGCGCCTGGGTAGTGCCTGTGGTCCCCTCACTGTGCCCACAAGACCACAGCTTTCTCCTAAAGGCTGAGGGACACCAACCAGTGGCTGGGGTTCTTGAGGTCCTTCCAGGCATAACATGAACTGTTTTTAAGATCTAGAAGCCAGAGCACGAAGCAAGACTTAATGGAGTCTCCTCCCAGCTAGGGGAGTCCCTGGGTGGTTTGAACCTTTAACACTCCCTGCTACTAATAGGTTAGTGATTTGAATGAATTCTGAGGCTCCTTGGAAGAAAGCTCTACTAGATGTACTTTTAAAACAATGAGCCATTAAAAGCCTTTTGGAGCAAAGCTCTCCTCTGACACATATGGGGTCATCATGAGTTGAAAGTGATTCCGTGGCTGTTTCTTCCAGCTGTGGCTCTAGCAGTGGGGCAAGGACAGAAAGAACTTAACTCTATTGAGAGTCTTCTCTATCAGATGATCTAGACTGAAGCACTGTATCTGGAGACTCAAGCCTGAAGGGGAATCCTAGATTCTTAGACCACAGTGCCTTCCCTGCTTCTGTCATTTTAATCCCTCAACTGCTAGAATAGTGCCCTTGAACAGGTTGACCCTGTCCATCAGATGTACCCCCCCCCGAGACCTCCCCAGGAGTTCACACCTTCTCCTGCCTCTGACTGAGCACCCTCTCTCTCTGCCTCTAGCTTTCCCTGGCCCCCCTTCCACCCCAGCCATCATATCAGCCTCTAGCCAGGGCATTACACTGTCCTGGAAGGCACCTCAGGGTCCTGGCAGCGCCCACCTCTTGGGCTACCTGATTGAGAAGCGCAAGAAGGGGAGCAACACGTGGACAGCAGTGAACGACCAGCCTGTGTCAGGTGAGCATGCCCGGTGGCCTCACCCTGCTCGGCCCTGCCTCCTAAGGTCTTTTAGACCCCCTGGCAGCTTGGCAGTCCTTTGGCTTATCACACCAGATTATTTAATGGAGTGGTCCTCACCCCCTTGAGAACAGTTGGCAATGTCTGCAGATACTTCAGGTTGTCACAGCTGGGGGTGAGGTGGGTGGGTGGCATCTGGTATGAAGGGGCTAGGCATATTAAACTTCATACAATACACAGGACAGTACCACCTTCCACTCCAAATAAAAATTATCTACCCAAAACTGTCAGTAGTGTCAGTGCTGCAAAGCCTTGGCTCTAGGGGAAAGGCCCCACCTGAAAGCCAGAGGTGGATCTCTGAGCCCTCGCCATGAGAAGGGCAGTTCCCTTCTCTCTTTAGATCTGAATTTCCTCTGCTATAAGATGCAGAACAGTGTCCCCTACGTCATCAAGCAGTTTTCTAGGCAATGAACAGCTTTCTGTTGTCAGAAAGGACTTGGAGAAGCCTGAGTGCTGGGTAGACCACCCTTTGCTTTCAGTCTCAGAGCTCAGCACTCTTAGGAGCATACCCTGGCTGCAGGCCTGCCTGGGGCCCAGGTATGCAGAGGCGTGTGGAACAGGTGGTCAGCAGATCTGGCTTCTAGATGTGGCGATGCTGGGTGCTGCTTCAGAGCTGAGGCCTCTCAGGGCTCCAGTCTCCTCACCTCTGAGAGGAGAGAGTTAAACCAAGGGCACAGCAGGGTATTTTCTACTTCACTTGCTTGTGATTGTTTCATGTATGACAACATCTCTGAGACAGAGAATCAGAGAGGTTAAAACTTCTGCTCAAGGCCACCCAGCAAGTCGGTGAAAGAACGTGGCAGGTTCTGATACTCTGAAAACTACCCTGCTCGCCTTAGCCCTGAGTCACACCTGACTGACCAGGGGCCAGGAGTAGGAATGTGTTGGGGTCTCAGTCTTGGTCTCCTCCAGAAGGCAGACCCTCTTCACCGAGCTGGTCCTGTCAAGGTGGGACTCACTTAGGGTGGATTGTTCACAGAGAGGAAGTGGACGGTGATGGACTTGCGGCAGGGCTGTCAGTACGAGTTCCGGGTCACGGCTGTGGCTCCCTCAGGCCCTGGAGAGCCTGGGCCCCCATCGGATGCTGTCTTTGCTCGAGACCCCATGAGTAAGTGCCACACGATCCCGAGACTTGAGGTCACAGTGTGCATAGGATAGCCCTGAAGTCAGGTGGGAACAGACAAGACACCACAAGTCAGGGACAGTTCTTAAAGAAACAGGAGTTCTGGGAGGTCGGCCTTAAATGGCCTCTGGGACTAAACACATCTTAGAGGTCCAGGGAAAGGTTGATTACTGTTGATAGTGTTCTTATGTGTTACAGAGCAGAATTTTTCTAGAGTTTTTTTGGCTTCTACATTTTTTTTAATTTTTTAAAATAATTTTATTGAACATTTACAGAGAATTTGGATTTCCATTCAGTCATTGCTGTACTTCTCTACCCGCCCAGCCCTCTCCCCCTGCCCCCCAGTTCGCTCCCCTCTTTCAAAAGTAAAAGAAAGACTCCCTCCCTGGTACACAATCCCCCCATATCCCTCCCACCTCCCCAAGTACATTCCACTATGCAACCTTAATTGTGGACTCTTGTGATAACCTTAATACCCTATCATACATCGCTTTTAAATTATTCACTCCTTCATCTGTTTCAGTGCAGTATACACAATTTATCCAGTTTTTCTCAGTCTTACCTCCACCCTGATATCAGTCCCATTTTACAGCAGGGGCACCATGCAATATTTGTCCTTTTGCAACTGAGATATCTCACTCAGCATAATGTCCTCCAGGCTCACCATTTTGAATAATGTCACATGAGTTCCTTGTTTTTCAATGCAGCATAGTATTCCATTGTGTGAATATACCACAGCTTCTCTATCCATTCGTTTGTTGATGGGCACCTGGGTTGTTTCCAACTCCTTGCTATTGTGAACAGAGCTGCGATAAACATGGGTGTGCATTGGCTTTTACTTTTATGGAAGCCATTTGCCAGGCCTTTTCTTTTGTAGAGCTGCTGCACAGATTTGAACTGGCAACCTTTTGTTAGCCACGAGGTAGTTAACCACTGTGTCACCAGGGCCCGTCAGGGAGGCATACCAAGACAAATACATAAACAATAAAACAAAAGCCCACTACAAACGAGTCAATTTCAATACACGGCGAACCCCCATTTGGTTTCTAAGTCTGTAGTGCTACACACTACACCACCAGGGCTCCTCAAGGAAGGGCTACTGTTATGCAACATTGAGTTGAAACTGACCCATAGCTGACCCTCCAGCAGATTTTCAGAGGCATTTAATCACTGGGAAGAGATTGCCCATTTTTCTCCTTTAGAGCAACTGTCGAATTCAAAGTGTACCTTCAAAGTTGCAGCGCAGCTTCTTGCCACTAGGCCACCGGAGCTCCAGCTCTTAAACTGAAGCCAGACAGGCCCAGGGGTTGGCAAGAGGACTAGAAGACCCCCTTCCTCAGAACACTCACTTTCTCCTTGCCCCTTGGGCCCTCCTGTCTTAGTCTTATGACAAAGAGTCTTTATCATTCCTGGAGCCACAGAGAATCTCAGTCACCAGTTCTCTATCCAGCAAACATTCGCTCATTACCTACTAGCTGTTCAACGTCATGCCAGGAACTAGGTGTATAAGTCTGATCTGTGCCTTGAGAAATTTATGGTCCAGACCAGCATTTTCCTGCCTGTGATCGCAAGACCACTGAGGTACCAAGAGATGCCAGGAGATAGTCTGACAACAATAAGAAGTAAGATCTGTCTTTACAGATGCTTCTCACCTGTAGCCTAGGATGTGTCCAAAGCCAGCTACAAGGAAATTGGTCTAATTTTGTTCAACCCAAATGTCCCAAACTTGATTAACCCAAACCAACTGCCCTGGAGTCAGTTTGACTCTGTTCCATAGCTGCGCTCTACTGGGTTTCTGACACTGTATGGGAGGAGACTCTGGTATTTCCCCTGAATAGCAGCTGGTAGATGTGAATCATTTGGCCTCTTTGATTAGAGGACACATTAAAAAAAAAAAAAGCCAAAACCAAACAACCCAGAAAAACAGAAGCCCCCTTTAATAGGTCCGTTCTAACATATCAAAGCGTACAGCTTGAAAAGTCTTGCCCTACAGATCTCTATAGACTGTCTTCGACCCTTCTGACCCAGTGCTAGTCACCGACAGGGCCAAGTGCTCTTAACACTAGCTGGACTGGCCAAGTAAAGACCTGGGGAGCATCTCTATTCCCCTCAGATCCTGCGTACAATGTTGGTATGCAGGGTGTTTGAATGACCCCGACAAGAATAGGCCACTCTACAATACTCCTGTGCAAATGGCATCTAAGGGTGACTCTGGGAGCAAGGGTGTATAGTGAAGAGGTGGAGAGGAAGGCTGGTCTGGGCATCTTATTTCTTGCAAGTGGACCAAACCTCTCCATGTTATTGTTAACCTCCCTTTTGCCAGTATTGGGAATGGAGAGACAAGTAGGATAATCAGTGCTGAGAGGGACCAGTTCTTGAAGAAGAAGATCATGCTTGGAAGGGTGGAGGGTCAGCTCAGGAGAGGGAGCCCCTGGATGAGGTGGATTGACATAGTGACTGTGGAGATGGTGCAGGTGTGTCGGAGACAGTGAGACTGGCTCAGGCTAGGATAAAGTTCATAGTTACTGTTCATAGGGTCTCTGGATCCTAGTCAACTCGATGGCATATAACAAGAGGTAGGCAAAGATGTCTCAGAAGACAGACCTGTTATCCACATCCCCCAACTCACAGCCTTTAAAACGCTAAGGACAATTCTACTCTGCAGACATGGATTGGCCATGAGATGGAATTTACTTGATGTCAACTAATAAGATACAGCTACACCAATAACTATACTTCTTAAACCTTTGTCACCCAGGATCCCGAAGCTTGTTAGAAATGCAGGATGCCTCACCAGCTCTACTGAATCAGAATCTGTGTTTTTAACAAAATCTCTAGGTGATCTGGACATAGATGAATTCTATCGTGGACCAGGGACACATAGTGCTCATCTATGTTATCTGCCTCTGGAGCTTACTGGGAATCTTCTGTCCCACTTTTAGTGCATGCTGCCATTTGGTGGTGGCCTGTATAATTGTGTGCCTCTGGGAAAAATGAGTCTCATTCTACAACCCCAGCAATAGAGTTTCCTCAGGATGTTTGTGTACCACAGAGATGGTGAGGATAACACAGAATAGGACAGGCTTCAGATCTGTTGTTTATAGTTATGAGTCATGCTCGACTCTATGGTATCTAATAATAATTATATAAAAGGTAACTCTGCACACCTATGTTTATTGCTGCATGATACACAATAGCAAGGAAATTGAAGCAATCCAAGCAAGCCTAGCAATAAAGAAATGGATAGAAAAACTATGGGGCATCTGCACAATGGAATACTACACAGCACTGAAAAACAAACAGTAAAACACTACACAACATGATGGAGCCTTGGAACATTATGCTAAGTTAAATATCTCAGTTACAAAAGGATAAATACTGCACAACACCATTGTTATTAAATAGGACAGACATGGGAGGTTGGGGAGGGAATGGGGAAAGAGTGGATAATGAACACTGCATTAGAACAGATGAGAGGAAGAACTGTCTGAAAGGAATATATGATTATGCATTATATGTATGAGAACCATCTGGAACAAGGGGTGCATTGTGACGTGGGCTGAGGAAGGGGGATGATGGAGTAGAGAAAATGTGCAACAATGAATAAATAAAAGAGAAACAAAACAAAAGGGAACTCTGGTGGATTAGTGGTAAATAATTGCACTGTCAACCGAAAAGTACGTGGTTCAAATTTCCACATGTTCCATAGAAGGAGGATGGGTAATTTCCTCCCAAGTTGTTTAAAAGCCTCTGTAAACCCACTGAAGGGTCAGCCATGAGTCAGTTCCAACTCAATGGCACACAACTACAATTGTATCAAAATTACCAAAATAGATTCCCCCCCCCCAAAATGCTTTCTGTTACTGAAAACATATAATTCCAACAAAAAACTTCAAAGCTGAAAACCATTCAGTCTTGAGTGGGTTGAAGTTTGAGAAGTACCATCCTAGGCAGCATTTCTCATACTTGGTAGCATTTTCAAAAACACTTCAGGAGCTCTTAAAAATCCCGATGCCTAGGTCATTTCCTCAGAACAAGTAGAATCTCTGCAGTGGGGTTTGTTGTTATTGTTGTTGTTAGACGCCATCGAGTTGAGTACAACTCACAGTGACCTTGTGAACAACAGACTTAAACCCTGTCTTATCCTGTGCCATCCTCATCATATCTGACACACTCAAGCCCATTGCTGCTGTCACTATGTCTATCTATCTTGTTGGAGGTCTTCTTCTCTTTTGCAAACATAATGCTCCTTTCCAAGGAATAGCCTTTCCTAGTAACATGTCTGAAGTATGAGAGATGAGGCTTTGCCATCTTTGTCTCCAAGGAGCACTCTGGCTGGACTTTGTCTAAGACGTAACTGCTCTTTTGGCAGTCCATGGGATATTTAGTCATTTACTCTGACACCACAGCTCAAAGGCATCTAGGCGTCATCATTTTTTAAAACTTCCCTGAGGATTCCAATACACAGGTTTGGGAACCAGAGTCTAGATCGCTCTTCAATTTTCAAGTCCTTCAGCACACATCATACCCTTTGCTCGTTCCGGAATCCTGTGGGAGGTAGGATTACACAGTACTGTTCCCATTGCAAAGGTGAAGAATATGCAGCAGTCTGGATCAAATGCCTAAAAGGAATCTTGCCTAGAAACTTAAGAGTTTAGAATAAAAAATATAAAGAATTCTAATATTCAAAGATCTTGGTCCCTAAGAAATATTCAACTAAAGAACTGATTTCAGGAATTGGGAAAAGGGAGGTGAGGAAGTAGAGTTTCTGGGTGACATAGATGCTTAACTACTGTCCAAAAGGTTAAGCACTTGATTACTATTGAAAGGTTGGCAGTTTGAACCCATGCTGAGGTTATTTGGTAGAAAGGCCTGTCTACCTGTATCTAAAAGGTCATAGCCCTGAAAACCCTATGGAGCTGTTCTGCTCCGCACACATGGGGTTACCATTAGTTAACAGAATCAACTCAGCGTTAACTAATAGCCGCCAGTGGGGTCAGGGGAGGGGTCAGGTCCTGTTGGCAGTTTGTCCAGTGAGTGGAGTGAGTTGGAGGAAGCTTGCTGGAGGGGATGATCTGGGATTTGTGTGCATGATGGGATGGAAAATAGGATAGAGTAAAGCATCGATCCCAGATGTGCTTCAAGAAAGTCTAGAGACAGAATTCCTAGATGGTAGAGGTCCCCAGACTTCCCCAAGGAAGGAGAGTGAATGATAGTGCCCCCTTGACATTCTCATGGTGTTCGGCCAGGTCCCCCTGGGCCCGTGCGGGATCTCCAGGTGACAGACACGTCAAACACCAGCTTTACCCTGAGCTGGGCCTCACCGGATACCCAGGATGCGGATGAAGCCTTGGGGTATGTGGTGGAGCTGTGTGGTTCAGATAGTCTCCAGTGGAGCCCATGCCACGTGGGCACCTTGGCTGTCACCACCTACACAGTCAAGGGGCTTCGACCTCAAGAGGGCTACTTCGTGCGGGTGACGGCTGTTAACGACGGGGGACGTGGCCAGCCCACTGCACTGGACATGTTAGTGCAAGCTATTCCTGCTTCTGGTGAGTGCTGCCCCCTTTGCAGAGCCCCAAGCGCTGCAGACCCTTCCTGAGTGTATCTGTAATTTGCTGAGCCAGGACCCCCGCTCTTCAGTTTAGTATTGTTTCTTGAGCACCTACTATGCTGGAGGCACTGGGCTGCGTAAGCCTGCTCAGAAATGTTTTCCATTTACAACTAATAATAACAACCCAACATGATGAATATTTTTAGTCCAAATTTACCATGTGGCAGAGGCAGGATCTAGATCAGGGGCTTTTGGCCCCTAAGTTGGTTTTCTTTCCAGGATTTTTTACTGCTTTCCAAGCACGGCCTCAGAAGGCTCAAGTGCTATTTAGCTTTCACAGTTCACGCTCAAGGTAGAGCAAGCCTCACCTTTCCTGTTATGGGAAGGTGGATGATATTTTCCCTTGGGCTTTGATCCAGAAGCAGCTGACCCGCTTTTGATCCAAGCTGACACTGGCCATGGCGCTCACCCTACTTGTCACTGTTAAAATAAGAAGGACATAATGGAGTAAAAAGCACAGGACACTAAGGGGCTAGTGTTGCAGAATCTTGTCATGGTCCTGTCCCTAACTCTAACTCTAACTCTAACTCTAACTCTAACTCTAACTCTAACAACTCTAACTCTAACTCTAACTCTAACTCTAACTCTAACTCTCTAACTCTAACTTTCTAAATCTAAGTCTAACTCTGTGATCCCTGACAAGTCACTCTGAACAGTTTCCTTATCTGCAAAGCCCAGGATATTAATACCTGCAAAACCCAGATACTTTTTCACTATTTGCCTCTGCTCCAGCCTAGTCCTACCCCTCTCCCTTCCCCACTAGCGTCTCCCCACCGGCTCCTGACACTCCCCCTCAGGATCCTCCTCCCCAGCACCCTCCTCAACTCCTTTTGCAGCCTCCAATCCCTATCAGGGTCTGAAGCATCAACTGACTGCCCCCTGGGACTGGGGTCAGCTGCAGAGGGAGGTGACAAGCCATCTTGTTTATTTCAGTCTGTCCCAAGTTCCTTATGGACTCCAGCATGAAGGACTCGCTGACAGTCAGAGCTGGGGACTTGGTTCGTGTGCCTGTCTCCTTTGAGGTGAGTATACCTAGGAGTTCATGAGGAGAGGGAGGGAGGAAGTGGCCAAGGGAACAGGCTCAGCCCAGCAGTTCTCCCTCCATCTCCAAATCAGCAACCTGGACTTTGCTAGAAATTAAACCAGATGTAACCTTGAGGGCCTTCCTTGAAGGCAAGATGTTCACCTGACCACTGAGAGACCACATCACTGTGTGTTTAAAGATCCCATTAGAGGTGCGTGCTATGCTACACTTCCAAAGTCTAGTATTCCAACATGCCCTGGTGGCCTAGTAGGTTGGGCTGTGAAAGGAAAGGTGAAGAGTTTGACTCCACCAGAGTTTCTCCCTGGGAGAAGGATGAGCCATGTGCTCCTGCTAAGACTGGAAACTTGATAGAGGTTGTCATGAGCCAGACTGGACTTGATGGTGGTGGATTTGGATTTAGCTCTGAAGAATTGATTCCACAACAGGGTTTTGGAACCCTGGTGACAAGGCCTGGCTGTGCAGTGGTTAAAAGGATCAGCTGCCAACCAAAATGCTAGGCAGTTTGAACTCAACAGCTGCTCTTTGAGAGAATGATGTAGCTGTGTGTTCTGGAAAGATTTACGGCCTGGGAAACTGTGTGGGACAGCGTTCCTCTATCCGATAGGGACGATATAAGTCAGAAAGAGCTCAGAGGTCATGGGAATGGGAGGGGTGGATAAAGAGCTTGGTGGTACAGTGATTAAGCACTTAACTGCTGACCAGAAGATTGGCAGTTTGAACTCACCAGCCACTCTGCAGGAGAAAGTGGAGTCTTCTGCCTCTGTAAAGCTTAGAGCCTTCGCTTTGTTTGGGGGGTCTTCATCTCTGCCCTGCAGGGCCGCAATTAGAATCAACACCACAGCAGGGGATTGGATTTTTTACTAGTGTGAGTGAGTAATCCGCTTTGACTCCGACACAGGTTTTGTGCAAGCATATAACCTACATCTGATGCACAGTGATCCCCAGCCAATACACCCGACTGTGGACTGAGCAGGGCAGTGTGTTGGTCATAGGCACACACTCCTGCATTCACATTCTGCTTTGCTTTGGGCCGCTATCTCCATCTTTGCATTGCAGCATCTTCATCTATCAAATGAGGGTAAAAGTGAGCATAAAGGCATTCATAGGTAGAGACATAAACAGCACATGGCAATTTTGTTGTTATTATTATTATTAAGTATAATGTTATTATATTCATTATTATTAAAGTGATGATACTCTTCTATTGTTATTATTATTAAAATTAGGGTATTCAGTGCCCATCAGTGGATGAATGAATAAACAAACCATGGTCCATACACATGATAGAACACTGCAACATTAAAGAATCCTTGGAAAGACTCACCATTTGGATGAACTTTCGTGATGTTCTGCTGAGTGAAATATGCTAATCCCCAAAAGACAAGTATTGCATGAATCCACTATTATAAAAAATCAGCAAAGAGATTACACACAGAAAGACAGTCTTTGTTGGTGACCAGGAATGGGAGGGGAACGAAGTCACTAACAAGGGAATAGACACGTATTAAGTTGAGTGAAGGGAAATTCACTGTAAAGAGGTAAAGAGGTCATCACACAGTATCCTTAAAGGGAAGATAAGGTGAGAAGCACAAGGGTTACAGACAGCAAAGGCAAATACTATAACATACCCCATCTTGTATTATCAGGAATAGAAAACGTTTATCTACATGGGGATAGGTGGTAGACAGGCAGAAGGAGCAGGCATGGGGAGCCAAAAGAGGCTACACTCACAACCTTAAGCCAGTCGTGGACAGTGCCTGTACATATAGATTTGTGTGTGCTGCAAATATGTCCATTTGTACCAAAGAGCAAATTGGGCAGAGTTATGTAAACTTAGCCCTCATTTAACACTTTGAGGGAAAGAATCACTAGGTCTAGAGACTCAGCATCACGTATACAGGGGACACCGGCATCCTACTTTGCTATCAACTAGGATCTTAAAACGTTTAGAGGGGCCATCTCAGATGCAACTCTTGGTCTCCCCAACTCTGGATCATAAAAAAAAAGAGTGAAGAAAAGACACATAGAAACAATTAGTTAAAAAACCTGGCCTGTCCTTCAAATTCAGTCCTCAGTGACTTTAGAAGAACTAGACGGTGCCCAGCTGCCACTGCCAACTACGCCGAATAGAGGGCCTTGGACAGAGCAGGAGAAAAATAGGGAACAAAACCCAAAGTCGTCAAAAAAACCCCAAATCTCACAAGTTTGATAGATCCTGGGGGAGCCTCTGAAACGATATCTCCACTAACTCATTGCCATTGGCTAGGAACCTTTCATATTTGATCCCTCTGTTGGGTTTCCACTCTGGTGGCCTAGTAGTAAGAAGCTGCATTGCAATCACGAAGGCATGTGGTTCGAATCCACCAGCTGCTCCACAGGAGAAAGATGGGCAATTTCCTCCTGCGATTAACTGCCTCTGAAAACAAGCCAGAGGTTCAGCTGTGGGTGTGTTCTGACTAGATAGTACACAACAACAACAGTGGGTTTCTGAGATAGTAAATTGTGAGGAAGGAGACGTCTCCTCTTTCTTCCAACTAGCTGCAGGTGGATTCCAACTTCTAGAGAAGTGTAGTCTTTGGCCTAGCAGTGTAACTGCTTATGGACTAAGGCTCTAGTACCCTATTCTGAAACTTACAGCCTAGAAAGGAACTTACGGCATGGCTTAGCAATTGTTGCTGCAGTTGCTACGTGCCATCAAATTGCCTGTGACTCATAGCGACCCTATGTACAATGTTTCTAAACCTTGCCATATCCTGTGCCAGTCTCACTGGCTCCTACATACCTAATCCCATTGTCCCCTTTACTGCGCCAATCTATCTTTTGCGGGTTCTTCCTCTCCTGTACTGTCATTCCACCCTTCCTAGTATGATGTCCTTCTCCAAGGACTGGTCCATCCTGGCCATGTGCCCAAAGTATGTGTGATAGAGCTTCAAAATCCTTGCCTCTAAGCAGAAACTTGGTTTTGCCCTCTGCAAGACAGACCTATTTGTTCTCCTGGTTATTTATGGTATGTTCAATACTCTTCTCCAGCACCACAGCTCAAAGGCATCAGTTATTCTTCTGTTATTCTTAGTCAATGCCCAGCTGTCGGATGTACAGCAAGTAATTGCAAAGAAGATGGCCTATATCAGGCGCACCTTAGTCTCTAGACTGATGCCATTCCTCTTTAGCACTTTGGAGAGGTCCCTGAGAGCAGACTTTCCCAATGCAATTAGCCTTTGAATTTCCTGGCTGCTGGTGCCAAGAGCGATGATTATGGAGCCAATAGACAAGCTTATACCATGAACAGTACCACCAGGGAGATTCATAGTCCTTAGAACAATCACCCACACAAGCTCACAAGGGCAGCCTTTGAGCTCAGGAGGCAGGAAAGAAGAATGAAGGGAAATGAGGAACCCAGAGAGGAAGTGGAAAGAACTCCGTTACAATGTAGAGATTACCATCAACATCACGGAACAAAACGTGTGTGAAATGTTGATTGGAGAATCAACCTTCCCTGTAAACTTTAAATCCCAAGAAAAAGTTTAACAAATAATAATAAAATTATACTCACCACCATCATCTGTGTAAGGAAATTCATACATGGTGGAGCTAGATTCAAGCCAGCTAGCTCTAACTCTGCATTCTTGGCCATTAGATCATAATACTGACGATGACAGCAATGACAGTTGTATTTAACACACTGTGTTGTGTGTTGTGCTAGGCCTTGCTCTTCACTTTCCATCTATTAACTCCTTCTGAACGGTTCCATGAGGCATCATTAGCTTCCCCTAGACTCATGCTGTCTGGTCAGTGCTGAGGGCCACACAGGGAGGGCAGCACAATCATCAGGCAGCTGGACATACGTCTTCACCCTGCCCAGGGTGGCCACTATTCTAAGGCCACCATAATGTCCCTTCCAGACTATTGCAGAGTTTTTCTAAATCTTCCTCCTTTTGGTCTTGGGCACAGGGTAATAATGCTTCTGTTCCAAACCCTCTTCATTCCTAGCCAGTTCCCACTGGAGCCCAGGTCTAATTATGTTTTCCTGTTCAAACGCATTGCTTACAGATCCCAATCTAGATGCTGGTATGGCTGTGGCCTACCCCTCTTTCACTCTCCTCTCCCATCTACTGCCAACCCCACATGTCTTCACCACCTCTTCCAGGCCCAGTCCCACCTCTGCGGTTTTGCCTGGACTCATTTCTCTTCCCAGGATGCCCTCTATGCCACCTCTCCCCTAGACGCGACTTGAACACCATCACTTCCCTGCAGCTTCTCCTCTCAATTTTTCCTTCCTCTTTCCCCCCAGGCAGCACCCATGCCTAAAGTGACCTGGCTGAAGAACGGCTTACCTTTGCCCACAAGAAATGTGACCACCACCAAAGATGGCCTCACCCAGCTTCTGATTCCCATGGCTAGCCTCTCAGACAGTGGCCACTACACTGTGGTGCTGAGGAACCTTCATGGGAAGGAGGCCACTTACAGCTTCCTCATTAAGGTGGCAGGTGAGGCCGGCTTGGGTTAGGGCTCTCAAAGTGGACTGGCCATTTGCTAAGGCGTGGAAGTTTGCATCTGGTTGGATTGTCTCAGCTGATGTACTAGGCCTGAGTATGCCAAGTGGCAGCACATCAGCCCTTACTATGTGACTGAAGGTTGAAAGAAGGCTGGAAGAGGGGCTCTGAGGGGACTGTATTATCATGTCGCAGGACCTTATGTTGTTGTTGTTGTTATGTGCTGTTGAGTTGCCTGCGACTCATAGCAACCCTAAGTACAATAGCCCTAAATCCTGCTCTATCCTGAGACAATCTTGTTGTCTCCAACACCCATACTCCCATTACCCCAGTGATGGAATCAATCCATCTCTTCCAGGGTCTTCCCCTCTTGCACTGTCCCTCTACCCTCCCAAGCATGATGTCCTTCTTCAAGGACCGGTCCCTCCTTGCAACAGGTCCAAAGTATGTCAGACAAAGCTTCAGAATCCTTGCCTCCAAGGACCAGCCTGGCTTCACCCTCTCCAGGACAAACCTGTTTGTTCTCCTAGCAGTCCATGGTATATACAACACTCTTCTCCAGCACCACAGCTCAAGGCATCAATTCTCCTTCTATCATCCCTAGTCATTATAGGCAGCAAATTAAGCCAGCCTCCCTCACTGACCACAACTAGTCTTCCTTTTGTGTGATTGTGGAAGCAAAGGCAGCCATCAATTGTCTTAGTTCCTTAGTGCTCATAACAAGTGGGGAATTTTAAAAACTAAAATAAAAAACCCCAACCTTAACCTCATTGTTGTCAAATCAGAGCCGACTCCTACCTGACCCTCCAGTGGGTTTTTTAGTGGCTGTCTACTGCATAGGAGGAGATCCCGTGTCTTTCTCCTTCAGAGCCTTGGGTGGATTTGAACCACTAGAGAGTTGCCACCTTTGGGTGAGCATCACAGTATCACCGGAGATCCCTAGGGTGACTTTAGAGAACAGGAACTTACTTTCTTCTACATAAAGAATTCACAAGTCTGCACTCAGACTTGGAGGAGACTCCTCTGTGTCAGCGGCTAGTAGCTGCCAACAAGCTTGTAGCTGCATCTCTGTCATAAGAAGCCTTCCTCTCCTCTCTCTGTCTGCACACCCATTCTGCTCTTTTGAGAATTCATAAGCGACTCGATTTACAGCCCACTAATTAACACAACAAAGAAGACCCTATTTCCAAACAGGATCATCTTCACAGGTATAAAGACACAATTCCGTCTATAATGCTGCTTTAAATCGCTGGAGAGGCCCCACAGGAAGCATTGCCTGTGGTCCTCGTCTGAGATAAAGGGTACCTTTCAGGAGCTGACACCCCCACATGGTCCCTGACCTCCAAGAATTTCAGGATATTCAGAAATGGTGGCACAAAATGATAAGTGAGGCTCTGCAACTTGATTTAGGAAAATTCTTACCTTATAAAAAAACCTAAAAATCAACACAAAAAAACCCATGACACTGCTCTATCCATTTTGTTTAAAAACTAATTCAACTTACTTTGAGGCAATACCCAGCTCATAGCTTCCCCCTCCAGAGTTTTCCAAGGCTGTACATCCAAATGGAGGAGACGAATCACCCTTCTCCCTGGGAACTGCTGGTGGATTTGAATCTCTAGAAAGGTGCCACATTGGGATTAGCAGTGCAACTCCTATAGACTAAAGCCACAAGAGCTCCTTTCAAAAATGAAAATTATTTAAAATGATGACTTTTGGGGGAAGATATTTCCCACCCCATAGAAGTAACTGTCCACCCCTGAGGACCTTAGAAGACTGGGCAGGTCCCAGCAGAAACCCTTGAACATTTTCCAGGTTCCTTTCTGGCTCCCTCCCCCTAATGCAGACTTCCTCTGCCTCTTCTGCAGCGTTTCCTCGAGCTCCGGGGCCCATCCGCCTGCAGGAGAACGTGCCCGGCACTGTGACGGCCGAGTGGGATCCCTCCCCGGATGAGGCAGGGGCCGTCCCGCTGCACTACACGGTGTCCACGCGCTCCTCTGTGCACGGGGCCTGGACGGAGGTGGCTGACCGCGTCCACACCAACCACTTCACCCTCCTGGGCGTCCTCCCTGGCCAGGAGTACCATTTCCGGGTGGTGGCCAAGAACGAGCTGGGAGCCAGCATCCCCTCAGACACCAGCGAGCCCTGGTCCATCCCGCGGCAGCGAGGTGAATCGCCCTCCAGCCTCACTGGCCGTGTGCTCTTTGGTGCCCACGGTGGACCCCGGGCGGGTGCACAGTGGGTGGGAGTAAAGGGGTAGCAATGACAGAGATGGTGGGAGCACTTCTCAATGCACAGCAAGAGTAGGTCTGCTAGAGTGTGTGAGACCCTGAGATGCCCTTGGGGTACATGATTAAGGTCAATGACCTGGCCATTTGTTCCTTAGGTAAGTGGTCGCTGGATGCCAACGAGCTGATTCTGACTCCGGTGGCCCCCTCATCACAGAGTAGAACTTCCCATTGGGTTCACTAAGCTGTCATCTTTATGGGAGCAGATCTCAGATCTTTTTCCTGAGGAACAGCTGGCGGGGTGGGGGGTGGGGGGTTTGAACTGTTAGCCATTCAAAAGATTTCCTTTAGAAAGAGTCTCTTTCAGATTATAAAGTAGAATGGATTCTATTTTCCTCCTAAAATAGAAATAAAACTGCATAGGTGTTACTACAAAAATGTCTAGACAATTTACACCTAGATGTTAAGGGTGGTGATTTATGTTGTACATGGTGGAGAAGCTGGTAGCTTTGAACAGCTTACCTTCAGGTTGGCAGTGCAGCTCCATACCATTAGGCTACCAGAGCTCCCTATTGTGGTTGATTTTTTTATTCTCTCTTCTTTGATTCTATGTATGTTCTAAGTTGTCCAAATGAATGTGAATTAAATTGTGTGGATTTTTAAAAAATAACCCATCAAAGTATTTTAAGAAATGGATAAAAAAAAATAAATCGACCCTTGAATATCAGATTTGCAGGTAAAATGTGACAGGAAGTCCGCCACCTCCCCCAGGTGACACAGCTGATCTCTTCCTCCCCTCGGGCTGTAGCTGAGCTTTCCTGGTTCTCTGACCCTGTGATCATTTCCAACTCTCACCACAGACAGGTTCACGGTGAAGGCTCCAAGCTACCGGGAGCCCGACTTAAGCCAGAAGCCCCGCTTCCTGGTGGGCCTGCGGACCCACCTGCTGCCCGAGGGCTGCGAATGCTGCATGAGCTGTGCTGTTCAGGGCTCTCCCAGACCTCACGTCAGCTGGTTCAAGAACGGCCAGAGCCTGGAAGGAAACCCTGCAGTGTACAGCACCAACGTGCTAGGCGTGTGCTCCCTCGTCATCCCTCGCGTGTCCCTGAAGGACAGTGGCCTGTACAAGGCTGTGGCTGAGAACAAGCTGGGTCAGGCGGTCAGCACAGCGACCCTCACTGTCACAGGTAAAGGTGGTGGCGCCGGCAGGGGCCAAGCTGGTAGAGAAGGGTGAGAGGAAGAGCCCGAGGAACAGTGGCTACTGCTGGCCTTCAAGTAGTCCCTTTAAGGGACCCGGTCCCCTTAGAGTGATTAGGTCGGGGTCAGGGGACTAGGATTCTAGATCTGTCACTACATAAACACTATACAATGTAGCCTGGACTTCACTGGTCTTTTCCTGTCCTCGGTGTCCCCATCTGTAAAATGGGGTAGTTGGATCTGCTCAGTGATGAGCAACTCTTGGCTCAAGAGGCCACATACTGCCCACCTAAGCTTCCCAGGATGGCCTTACCACGAATGCGGTCAAGAGGAACACTAAGAGACTTCTTGTATGTTGCTCCTTCAGAAACATGTTTAACTACCATTTAGCGTCTATCAGTGTACAGTAGTTCTCCTATTATTAGGCTCTTTTTCAGTACAGCAGATAACTGGTGCCAGTAAGAATACTACTTTCTCCTTATAGTGTTTAAAACATACAACTGAATAGCAAGCGAGGGGTGGGGGGAATGTAACTCCTAGACATTTTCAGTCTTTCGGAATTGACCTTGGTGCATAAATGACCCTTTGGAACCAAGTGACCAGGATCTTTGTGGCATCTCATGGCCTTAAGAAGTCAATGCCCAGGTGCTGCTGCATGTGCAGACATCTGGTGAGAGCTTGGGGGTGGTTACTGTTGAAGAGGGGCTGAAGTTCACAGAGCGCATGATAGCTGTGGACTTGAGCCCATGAGCCCTGCCAGCTGAGCCCATGCTATTTCACCATCACCATGTAGCAGGGGTGGGAGCTCTTTCTAACCCACTGAAATAACCTGGTCTCTTGTCTTGCAGAATCCAGCTCTTAGCCTGGCCTCACCCTGGGATGGCCCTGCTTGACCCCGAGACCATGGGATAGACAACAGATCCCAAAGCCTCATTCCTGACACCGATATGGGCATAGGAAGTAAGCACAAAGGGATTGGAGGTGCTCAGACCCTACGGAGATGGGCATGAGGGACTTCTAGGGAGAACTGGACAAAAGGAAGGAAAAGAAGGGAGCATTCCGCTCCGGATGCCAAGTTAAGTCCCTGAATTGAGTGACAGCAAGCTTGCCTCATGTCACCAGTTGGATACCCTTTTCTCTACTTCAAGAGCCAGTGAGGACTTTTCTGCAGGGTGGAGGCCAACAGCTTGTTTTCCTAGATGGAGAAATAAAGGGACTCTCTTGGCCTGTGGTGACCACAGGAAGGCAAGAAGGAGGGAGGGAAGAGGACCTGGGTGAGAATTGGGGCATCAGACACATGTGTTTGTGGGAACCAGGGGTGCTTTTTGAACCTTTCCTCATTAAAACATCGGGTGAGTAGGGACAGACTGTTTGCAAATTAATTGAAATTGGTGGGTCAGAGGGAAGATTTCCAATGCAAAGCTTGTCTGTTGGGTTCCACTTGTGAGGATGGATGGGTTCTGAATCATTGGAAGATGAGACTCTTAATCGGGCTCTTCTAAATGCAGCCAATACTGAGGGCAGGAAGGCTGAGGAGGGCTGGAGGGGCTGTGGGGCAGAGAAGCCAATGCTCTCAGTTCTCTTCTGTCTGATCCAGATTCTGTGAGCTGCCAGGCTAGTAACCTCTGTGAGCGCTATGTGTGTGCAGAACACTGAACCAAGGTTTGCCAAAGATTCTCATATGCCTGTCTTCCCCGGAGCCAGGAGAGGTCTGGGTTCAGGAGAAATCCTAGTTCTGTAGTCTGTAGAAGCTGTAGTCTGTGGCCACCTGTCAGTGTAGACGTGAGATCATCAAATGCATGAGCATTTTGACTCACACAAGCCCTGGAGGGGTCCTCACCTCCTCCACACCCTGACTGTCCCTCCCACAGCCAGATAACTCCCCTTCCAGTGAAGAAGCTGTGTGTCATCATGCCCCCACCCTGCTCCAACCACTCTGACTGCTCTGTGTCTCATCCCCAAGCCACGGACCACTGGAGCGAGACGTGAGCCCCAGCCTTTTCAGTCTCCCAGCGTTTATCCTAGTGTTCTTAGAGCCAGAAGAGAGGAGGGAGCCTGGGAGAGACCGGGCTCCACCCTCCCCAAGAAAATAAGCTCAGAGGCCCTGCTGGTCACTCAGGGACGCAGAATGCTATCTGTTCTTCACTCCCTGTACTCAGATCTAGGCTTCTGCTTTCCCAGGCTGCTCTGCACTCAGGTTGCAAGCCATGTGCAGGGCATAGGGGTACGGCACTCAGTAAGCAAAGATGGGCAATCTCTTCCTGGTCAATTCGTGTTGTATGTCAAGTATCACTCATAGTGACCCTATGAACAACAGATCAGAAGTTCTCCTATCCTGTGCCATCCTCATTATCTCTGACACATTTGAGCCCATTGCTGCAGACACTGAGTCAATCCATCTCATTGATGGTCTTCCTCTCTTTCACCAATCCTCCACCTTTCCAAGCATGATGCCACTTTCCAAGGAAAGCCCTTCCTAACAGCATGTACAAAGTTACGTGAGACAAAGCCTTGATACCCTTGCCTCCAGGGAACACACTGGCCACACTTCCTCTAACACATAAACTGTTCTTTCGGCAGTCATGCAATAGTAATTATTCTCCTCCAATATCACAACTCAAAGGCATTCCTTTTTTCTGTCACCCTCACTCATTATCCAGCTCTCAGATGCACAGCCAGCTTTTGAAAAGACCATGGCCTGAATCAGATTCACTTTAGTCTTTAAATGGACATCATTGCTTTGCAGTATTTTGGAGAAATCCCTGACAGAAGAATTTCCCAAAATTGTTTGATTTCTTGACTAAACCTACTGGAAGGACAACTATGAGTCAGTTCCAAAAAAAGATAACCTTGAATCTCTGAGTTTGAAGCATGCATTTACTTGTGAACAATCTTATATGACGTGAAAAACATTCACTACAGATATTGAGTAAGTACCTGCACACTCATGCTTATCTTGTTTCCCGGGTAACCCGAGGGTGGTTGGTAGGAAGTGCAAGTAGCATATGAGGACGGCTCAAGATGGGTATCAGACAGTGATTACACAGTCATTTCTGAGTTGTCTGCTAAAATAGTCCAAGAATGGACGGAACACTCGGTTTCTGTCACTCCAGCCCCCATTGTCAGAGCCTGCTAAAGAACATTTTCTTGGAGATTTCTTTTGCCATCTCTAATAGTTTGTTTGTGTTCTGAGGTGTTGGGTTCCCCTCCCTACCCGAATGTCCTCTGGTCCTTCCATATAAGGCAAAACAGGGGCCCTGGGAACAGACATGATACTCTCAGAAAGAGAAGCAGGTCTAAAATCACAGCCTATATGGGCGGTTCTTACAAGCTGCAGGCTCCTGGAGGTGGAGAGGGTGAGACCTCCACTGTGATGTTATAAAGAGGAAGAAGATGAGGTTTACTCAGAGACTGAGACCCAATGCTCATGGCCTGCCTGGCCGTGGTCATGTGACCAAGTTCTGGTGAATGGAGCACGGATACAGAGAATGTGTGTAACTTTCAAGTCTGCCCCCTAACAAATCCTGAGCAAACATCCATGCTTTTCTCTGTCTTCATCTACCAGATGAATGTAAAGAATCTCTCCCCTAAAATATAATGGAGCTAGTTGAGAACTCATAATAGCTCAGCCATTTCACTTTAAACTGTGACTTGGGAAGTGAGCCTTGTTTTAGGCAAGGCTCCCTGATGGTACAATTTTTGCTCAGCTGACAGCTGAAATGTTGTACCTTCAAGTCTAATCCATGGTAGGAGCAAGAAAAGAGCTGGGGTCCTGCTTCTGTAGAGATTACAACCAAGAACTCTTTGAGTCTTTATGGAGTGGTTCTGCCGTGAGTTAAAGTCTACTTGAGATTTGGAGATGATTTGTTAATAGCAGTTAATACAGCTACTAATCTATTTTTTAAAAATACATGTGTGGTTTGGGGGGAATAGAAAAAATTCAAAGAAATTGGAAGAAAGCAAAGAATATAAAAAAATGAATAAACTTTAAAGACAGAAGATAATGAAATGAAAAACTTATTTCTTTGAAATGACTAATAATATTGACAAACCTCAAAGAAAAAAAGCAAGCTGGCAAAAATAAGCATTCAGAATAAAAAAAAAGGACGTAATTACCAATTCAATCACAGCATAGGATATTATTTAAAACCATATGCTAATATAGTAGAACATTTTGATGAATGGATAATTTACCAAAACAGACTCAAGAAGAAATGTATTACTGTTGTTATATACTGTTGGGTCAGAACTAACTAATAACTGATCCTCCAACAGGTTTTCTGAGGTAGGAGATGCATGGAAAGAGATTGCCCATCTTTCTCCTTTGGAATTGGTAGATTTGAACCATGTGGTAGTGGACCTCTAGTGGTAACACTAGACCACTAGAGCATCCAAGAAGAAATAGAAAGTCTACGTAGTCTATATCATTTTTAAAAAGTCAATTGGTAACATTTTGCCATAAATAGGAAAATACAGAAGAAGACAGACGGGTGAAAAATTCTTCCAAGTGTCTCTACCAATTTCTCCAGAGAATGTTACTTCTAGGTGCTGTTGAGTCAAGTGTGATGCAAAGTGACTCTATGAACAGATATGAATCCTCTCCTACCCTGTACCAACCTCACACTTCCTGACACATTCGAGACCAATACAGCAGTCACTGTGTCAATCTACTTGGTCGAGGGTCTTCTCTCCTTTGCCAATCCTCTACCTTTCTAAGTATCATGTCTCTCTCCAAGCACTAGACCTTTCTAGCAACAGGCCCAAAGTATGTGGGGCAAAGCTTTATCATCTTTGCCTCCAAAGAGCACGCTGGCTGCATCCTCTCCAAGTGTTTGCTCTTTTGGCAGTTCTTTTGGGATGTTCAGTACTCTTCTCAAACACCATAGCTCAAAGGCATCAATTCTTATTCTGCATCTTTGTTCATTGTTCAGCTCTCAGATGTATAGCAAGTGATAGGATCATGACTTGGATCAGACGCATGTTAGCCCTTAAACTGACATCATTACTCCTCAATAATTTGGAGAGGTCCCTAACTGCAGACTTTCCGAGTGTAATACTTCTCCTGATTTCCTGACTGCTGATTCCAGGGGTGTTATTATGGATTAAAGTATGATGAAGTTGTTGACCATTTCAATCTTTATCTATGATGATGTTGCCTATTGGTCCAGTGGTAAAAATCTTGGTTTTCTTTTTTTTTTTTTTGTTTGCTTGTTTGTTGTTTTTTATTTTTGTTTTCTTGACATTGAGAAGCAATCCATATTAAATCTTTTCTGAGAATTTCAAGGGACTGACTTCTTTTCATTAAGCCCAGTTACACCAGTCAGCATCACTCTCATGGAGCATTTCTGGCCATTTTTCCCTCCCTGAGCTTAGCTATCGGTCTCAGCTCCCTTTTCTTCAGCAGCATTGTTCTTGCTGTTTCTGCTAGTACTCATCCTCCAGATACCACGGTGTTCACTCTTTCAACTTCCTCATGTGTGGGCTCAGTTTCCTTCTCAAAGATGACCTTTTTCTGTCCACTTTATTTCAAATAGCAATATTTTCCTTCTCAGAAATTTGTCTATTTTCCTTGGATTATCCTTTTTGTTGTAGTCCTTTGAGGCACAGATAATTATATATTTGACCACTAGCTGAAAAGAGCCCTCATGCCATGTTATGTGTTGGTCTTCTAACCAGAAGGTTTATGGTTCCAGTTCACCAACTGCTCCACAGAAGGATGGGCTATTCCCCACCATGAAGACTACAGCTTTGGAAAACAAAGTTTCATCGTGAGTCAGAATCAGCTCTAGGTCTTGGTTTGTCTTACCAGCTAAGAGCTTAGTAATTTGAAGCCACCAAAGATGCCCCAAAAGAAAAGTCTTGTGATCTGCTTCTTGATCAAGTAACAAGCTTGTTTTGATGGTAACTAACAGTAGCAATATCGTTTTCCAAACCCCTTATCACTTACAGTTCTCTGCTTTCTGTTTCTTTTCATGGAAATATAAGTTCCATGAGAATAAATGTTTTTGTCATTTCCCCTCATTGCTTTATAGAATGCCCAGCACAGAAGATACGCTCAAATATTTGGTAGATAATGAATAGGGTTGAATCAAATGTTGCCTTTGAAGAGTAATGTTTCAACTCAATAAATATGCCAGCTTTATGATACTGGGCAAGCTACTTAACCTCTTTAAACCTTGACTTCTTTTATCAGTAAAATGGGCATAAAACCTATAAAGATTTGTATTAAATATCCATAAACTGTTTACCTTAAAGACTGGCATGGAAAGGGTACACTGTGAGCTGTTGAGAGAGCAGAACTGATGCAGAACATTTCTCAGATAAGTAAGGAGACTCCAGGGCCATGATGAAGGGCCCCTAGAAGCAGCACCTGGTTGAGCTCTAGACTGTTCAGGCCGGTGGGGGCAGGAGCTCCAAGAAGCCATCGGGGTGACTGAGCAGAAGCTGGTCCAGCCTCCTACAGGGACCAACCTAGATGTTCTGGGCTGAGAGAGAGCTGCTGTTAGCTGACCACACTGCAAGACAGGCTGGCCGTTCTGGAGCAGGGACCCTGCAGCTGCTCAGCCAGGAGCCAGACTAGACCAGCATCAGGCTCTGGACTGTATTATTGAAATCCTCTCCAAAGGAAAGGAGTGAGGATGGTCTGGGAGGCCAGCTGAGGGCTAGAGCAGAGTTTGGGGGGTCATGGGACAGCACCCTTCAAAAAGAAAGCCTTGAACCAGGTGAGCTGACTCTCTCGGGCTTTGCAACTACTGCTGAACAAGAGTTTGCAGGAACTGGAGAGGTGAAAAAGGTCATGGTGGAGCTGGCAAGTGACAACCCCAGGACACAGAGCAGGAGAACATCAGGTTAGGATAGAGACAGTCAGACTGATTGTACTGAGTCAGTGAGAAGGCTCCCACTGCCTGCTGTGTGACCGTGGGCACCACACTTAAAGCACCATAGGCCTTGGTCTTTCTTTAAATGGAATGAAATCTCTGACATGCATC